AACAGCAGAAAATTGTATACCCTAGAGGATATTAAAATTCTAAGAAAAGTATTCCAGTTTGCTTCCATTTCCATAGTTTGGGGAACTTAAAACAGTCATTCTGCTGTGTGCTTGTGTCACTGTGTGCTCCCTCTGCTCGGCTCCAGAGTGCTTAGGAGACCCATGGGCATGGTCTCCGCCCCCTGGACATTGGTTGGACCTGGGAGACGAAATGTCCACAGATGGTCAACACGAGGGGACCAGCTGATGTAATGTAAATAACATGATTGACTCCAACAAATTAGGAGTGTGCTGGTTCCAAGGCTTTCACCTGCAGAAACATTCAGATATCACCATTTGCTGTCGGCCTGGGCGGCCATCTCCTCGCCCAAGGAGAGTAACGGGGGGTCCAGCCCCTCCCTGTAAAGGATGCCTGCAGGCAGTGATTGCTTCTCTGTTCTTCTTCCTCGAACGGTTCTCCTGGGTGCTGGCACCTGGTGTTGGTCTGTGACAGCAGCCGCTTGCTGGAGTGATGTCTGACTTCGATGCTCTCATGGTCGTGTGACAACCACACTTTCATCCACACCCCTAGTGTGCTGGGTGCCACCCACAGGCTTCTCCCACATTCGGCCTCCCACCCAGTGGGACCCAGCTTCCTCCCAGATGTTCGGACTCTTGTTAGTTGTCGCTTCCCGCCGCAGTCACTTTGGTCACCTTTGGTCTTTGGTAGCTCACATGCTGTTTGTGCTCATTGCTCACGTAGACACCTGTGAGCATGCGTTTGCCCATGAGGCGTTAGGGACGGCACTCTGTGTGATGGCTGCTTGCATCACAGAGGCCCACAGAGAAGTGCAGCAGCGTTTCATGTGTTTGGAAATGTGAACCCATGCACATGAACAGACATTCACAGATCTCCCTGGCGCACAGTGCCACAACCAGCGGGGAGCATTGGTCATGGAAGGCTTGGCATGGGCTGGTACCTCCTCCAGAGAGGCCTTGCTGAAGGGCCGTGAAGGTCGGTTACAGAAGAAACACATGTGGTTCTGTGGCTGCTTCCTGTCTCCTGATTTCCTGGAAATTTGCCATCAATGAGGCTGATTTCCCCTGCCTCACTCCTCAGGGGCCTGAAGTACTCTCTTCTTCCCTCAGAGCGCCATGGAGAGTCTCCTGTGACATCCTTTCATTTTGTTCATTTGAACCCTGCGTTATGTGACTTGTATGTGTGATACACACGTCATGACAGACAATAACTCCCAGAAGGCCAGATTTGTGTGTGAGTTCTTTTGCGTTGCTGCCCCGCCCTGGGCTGCGTGTCGTGGTGCTTTCTGTGTAGCAGAACATCACCAGTATTGGAGGGATACGTGCACAAGGCACAAGCAGAAGGAAGGAGTTTAGTCAAAGGTGGCAATTTGTACATTACGTGTATTCAGTTTTTATTACTGAGAGGCTTTCAGTGCTTCTCTGTCTCACTCATTCAGTAAACACGCATGTATTACATGCTTTCTATGTGTGAGGTGCTCCTGGTAAGGGGGATCCAGGTCCCCAGCTGTTCAGTGTTGTGATCAGTACTTCGTCTGAACTGAGAGTTGTCAAGGATGCTCTTCAGAGCATTGTGACAGACCCCAGCCTGCTTGCTTAGGGAGCTAGAGGAGGTTTCTTTCTTAAGGAAAGGAGGAAGTCTGCTTGTGTGCAGATTTGAAGGATGAGGAGAAGTCGTGATATCAAAAAGGTGAGGAGGTTAAAACAACAACAAGATCCCACTACATACATATTAGAACGACTAAGATCAAAAAGCAAAAAAAATAAAAATTTAAAAACCCTTACATTATTAATTGGTGAGGGTGTGGAGCAACAGGCACTCATTCATTGCTGGTGGGGATGAAAAATGGTACAGCCACTTTTCTAGTTTGGCAGTTTCTTTCAGAACTAAATGCCATATGATCCAACCATTACACACCTAGGCATCCACCAAATTAATTTGAAAACTTATGTCCACACAAGAACCTGCACACAAATGCTTATGGCATCTTTATTTATAATCACCAAAAACTGTAACCCACCAAGATGTCTTTTTAGAGGTGAATAGATAGATAAACTGTGACACATTCATACTGGGAAATATTATTCAGTGATAAAAAGGAATAAGCTATAAAGCCATAAAAAGGCATGGATGAATCTTAAATTCATATTGCCAAATGAAGTAAATCAATCTGGAAAGGCTACATACCATACGATTCCAAATTATGTGACGTTTTGGAAAAGGCAAAACTGTAGAGACAGTAACAGGTTAGTGGTTTCCAGAAGTTCTGAGCTGGGACTTGGGGATGAGGTTGGATAAGTAAAGCTCCAGGGATTGTTTTGGGTGGTAAGACTATTTCGTGTGATACTATAATGGTGGATAGCTGACACTATGCATTTGTCAAAACCAATAGAATGTGCAACAGCAAGAGTGAACTACAATGTATTTAAATTTTAAAAAGTCATTTATGAAGTCGGGGGATCTCAGGATGGGAAACAGAATGTGACATATCAATCTAATTATATTAAATTTGTGTGAAACAGCCTCACTGGGGAAAGTTGTTGGGGGGCAGGGGAGGAAAAAGATGCTGACCTGAAATGAGTGGAGTCTTAAAGACAAAAGGCAGAAGCAACTGAACCCAATTACTGCACTCTAGTTAATAAAGTTGGTTTCCACAGGGGTACAGGTGAACAGTTCTGCTACCACTATGTACATACACTGCAAATATTGCATGTTTAATGGTTTATTTCACTTAACATAATGGCCTCCAGGCTCATCCATGTTGCAGCAGGTGACAGGATGTCATTCTTTTTATGGCAGAATAGTATTTCATTGTGTATATTTACCACATTTTCTTTATCCATTCACCCACTGATGAGCACTTAGGCTGATTCCATATCTTGAGTGTTGTGAACAGGGCTGCAATAAACATGGGAGTGCAGATACTTATTTGTCGTACTGATTTCCTTTCTTTTCCATACATCCCCTGCACTGGATTGCTGGATCATATGGTATTTTAATTTTTCTTTTTTTGAGGAACCTCCGTCCTGTTTTCCATAGTGACTGCACTAATTTACTTTACCACCAACAGTATACCAGAGTTCCCCCTTTCTTTGCATTATTGCCAGCATGTTATTTTTTGCTATTTTTTATAATAGCCATGTAAATTTACATCGGGCTGGCCTCAAACTCCTAGGCACAAGCGATCCTCCTGCCTTGGGTTCCCAAAGTGCTGGGATTGCGGGTGTGATCCACTGTGCCCAATCACAGGCTATTTTTAGATTTCATATTCTACCACTTCAAATAAGACGCAAAATGCTTACACAAGCCATTGAACTCAAAAAAGGTGATTTATTAATATTTACCCAGATGCTGACCATTTCTGTTGCTCATCTTTCATTCCTGAAGTTCCAGGTTTCCCTTTGGAAGCATTTCCCTTCAGCCTGTAGAATTTCCTGTAGCATTTCTTTTAGAGCAGGTCTGCAGATGACAGACAGAGTACCTTAATTTTTATTCGTCTGAGAATGTCTTTAACTCACCTTCATTCCTGGAGGATGGAATAAAGAGTTCTGAGTTGGCAGTTCTTTTCTTTCAGTCTGTGAAAGTTGTAGTTCCACTGTCTTCTGGTCTGCATGGTCCCTGATAAGACGTCTGCAGTCACGCACATTGCCATTCCTCAGCATGTAAAGTGTCAGTTTTGCTCTGGCTATTTTCAAGATGTTTTTTCAATTATAGTTTTTCAGCAGTTTGATTATGATGTTTCTGGGCCTGGTTATCTTTTACTTTACCATATTTAGGGTTGTTCAGCTTCTCAAATTGGAAAAAGTATGTCTTTCACTAAATTTCAGAATTTGAAGGCATTATTTCTTTAAGAAAATATTTTTCTGCACAATTCTCTTTCTTTTCTCCAGGAACTAAGAGAACACAATTTGATATTGTCTTTTGATACTAGCCCACAGATCCCTGAGTCTTTATTTATTGTTCTTCCCTTCTTTAGATTGGATCATTTCTATTGATCTCTCTTCAAATTCAATAGCTGTTTTCTCTGTCATCTCTACACTATTATTGATCTTTTCCTGTAAATATTGGGTATCTTTTGAGGTATCATGTGATTTTAATGTATAGAAAACTTGAGAGCCACTGACTTAATACTCCAAGGCCTTCACGTCCTCATCTTAAAAAAATGAGGAGGACAATGTGGCCTTACCACTTCCCAGGGTTTCTAGGCGGAACTAAGGAGCATCGCTGTAAGACTCCGGGACTTCGATGCTTGTCGCAATTTGTCAGATTTAGCAAGGGAGTCAAGACTAACTAATAATGCCCAGGGAGTTCTATTCCCAGACATAGCAGGGTATTATTGTTCAAGATACTACCAAGAATCCAAAAGATGTTATGACAGAAATTCTCATGATTTGAATAGTTGAAACGGGCTAGAAGCATGTGAATCATTGCACATTGTCCAAGTTGTAAAAGTGCGAAGGTGCTTGACAAATGACCCTAAGAGTTTGCAGGGGACACAGCACAAGCCACTAAGTTTAGGACAGGCTGAGACAGAGGCAGGCACCAAGTGCCAGGACCTGTGAGGTAGGGCAATGACCAGCATCAAAGAGACCAGAATTTTCATCTTAAAATATGTTCTCAAATAAAAGTACAATGTACAAATTTGACCGAAACCTACCATCAGCATATGTTGTAGGAATTTTTAAGTTAGCTGAGTTCATAATTTGGGCTGCTGTAAAAAGAATGTACATAATTATGTTAAGAGTCACACAGGCTGGAGTCAAAAGGAATTGTTCTCAAATCTGCTAAGTACATTTAGTGGTATATTCGCCAAAATTATGTTTTGATATTAGACAATTGTATTAAGTATTAATGTGCTTATGCATGATACATTGGCTTACTTGTTTTAATGTTTAATAAAATGTGATACCCATTAAATATCCTAAATGGTACAGATTAAGAGTAGATGTTTTAACTAAAGCTAGTCTCTTATTATTAACAGAATATCCAAGGTATCTCCAAGCACCCAATTCAGATTACTAAACCTAAGAATTTTAAAGGTAACTCATTTCTTACTATCTTGCTAAATAAAGTCTTTGGTAATTGTTTTATGAGACAGGGTGTCACTCTGACACCCAGGTTGAAGTGCAGTTGTGCGATCATGGCTCACTGCAGCCTTGACCTCCTAGGCTCAGGTGATTTTCCCACCTCAATCTCCTGGGTAGCTGGGCCTACAGGCATGCACCACCATACCCAGCTAATTTGTGTGTGTGTGTATTTTTTGTAGAGATGAGGCTCTGCCATGTTGCCAAAGCTGGTCTCAAACTCCTGGGCATAAGTGATCCTCCCACCTCAGCCTCCCAAAGTGCTGGGATTACAGGTGTGAGCCACTGTGCCGTTTTTAAAATTTTTAAAAAGGTTACTTGTCATTGATTTTCTGTAGAACTAACTGCTTCACCTTCCTGAAGTTCTTTGTATTTGCATCACCAGGATTTAAATATACATTGAAAAAATAAAAAACAGCTAAAGTGATATGGTACCTCCCTGTTAGCAGTTTACAAGTGGAAATACATGATAATTATATCAGGAAAGTAGCTTTCCTCCTACCATCTCTCCCCCACCAGCCTCCCAATAAAGAAAAAACAAACATATAATAGCACTGGTGCTTATTAAAGTCTGAACATTACTGGAAATGTTTATAAAAGCACACTAACACTCTTAAAAAGAGTCTAAGAGCACATTATAAAGCACACTAACACTCGTCTTTCTTTTAAACTATTCTGCTGTAATGCTGATGGGTACATTTCTAAAAAAGAAAAAGTTCAAATCTGAGCAAATGAGAGTTCTGCTGCCCATGCCCTGTATACGTCCTCCCCTTGGCAGTGGTGCTCCTGCCCTTCTCTTGGGGGCCCTGCTGTGCAAGAAGGTCCTGGCAAAGCAGTGAAACCCGATGAGCAATCTTGTCTCTTCTCTCCTTTCCTCTCCCCTCCTCTCCCTTCCCATCCCCTCCCCTCTTCTCTCCTCTTCTCTTCTCTTCTCTTTTTTGAGACAGAGTCTCGCTCTGTGGCCCAGGCTGGAGTGCAATGTCATGATCTCAGCTCACTGCAACCTCCGCCTCCTGGGTTCAAGCGATTCTCCTGCCTCAGCCTCCCTAGTAGCTGGGATTACAGGCATACACCACCACGGCGAGCTAATTTTTTGCATTTTTAGTAGAGATGAGGATTCATCATGTTGCCCAGGCTGGTCTCAAACTCCTGGGCTCAAGTGATCTTCCCACCTCGGCCTCCCAAAGTGCTGGGATTACAGGTGTGAGCTACTGCTCCCCACCCCGATGAGCAGTCTTTTCTAAAATACATGTAATTGCCCTGAAATAGGGTCCATGGAGAGGGATCCTGAGCAGCTTCATCCCCTGCTGCCCCTTTAAAATGTCTTCAGTGGGAAAATCACAATTGTGCTTCCCACATAGACCTTCAATCAGGCTCAGAGAGTTTCAAGATTGCTTTTACTGGAATGCATTCAGTTGTCAACATTTGACTTTTTCTTTTCTTCACTAAGAATTCTAGACAAAACAGAAAATTTTAAAAAGACAGAAAACCTAGTTAACTTTCAGTAGTAATATGTTATTTTTAAGTTACATTAATAAGGCCAGGCACCATGGCTCACACCTGTAATCCTAGTACTTTGGGGGGCCAAGGCAGGAGGATTGCTTAAGTCCGGGAGTTTGAGACTAGCCTGGGCAACATAGTGAGACCCTGTCTCTATAAGAAACTTAAAAATGAGCTGGTGATGGCGGTGTGCACCTGTAGTCCCAGCTTGCTTTGGGAAGCTGAGGCAGCAATATTGCTTAAGCCCTGGGGTACAAGGCTGCAGTGAGCTATGATTGTGCCACTGCACTCCAACCTGGGCAACAAAGTGAGACCCCCATCTCTAAAAAAAATTAAATTCATAAAAATATTCAGAAAAATTTAAAATCTTAACTCTTGACTTTAGAATAATATTCAAATAATATTGTATTAAGGAATAGCTATGTCAGTTCATGACCAAAGTCACTAAATGCTCTTGAAATAACAATTCAGGTAAAGAAGATGAAATTCTCACGATCTCCCCGAGGGCCATGTTTGTTTCATCCAAAGGCCACACCTTTCTAGCAGCAGGTACGTTTCTGTAGCTTACTTTATGCATTTTCATAGAGTTCAATGGTTTAGAAATTGAACAATTCAAAGGTACTTATGGAATTCATTCTTTCAAATAAATTCTTTTTTTTTTTTTTTGAAACAGCGTCTCGCTCTCGTGGCCCAGCCTGGAGTGCAATGGTGCGATCTTGGCTCACTGCAACCTCTGCCTCCTGGGTTCAAGCGATTCTCCTGCCTCATCCTCCCAAGTAACTGGGATTACAGGTGTGCGCCACCACGCCTGGCTAATTTTTGTATTTTTAGTAGAGACAGGGTTTCACCGTGTTGGTCAGGCTGGTCTCGAACTCCTGACCTCAGGTGATCTGCCCACTTTGGCCTCCCAAAGTACTGGGATTACAGGCATAAGCCACTGCAGCCAGCCTCTTTCAAATAAATTCTAAGGCACAGTACATAATAACAAGTTTTGTTTCCAGTGTCCCCTCATCACCATATCTAAATCCCAGATACCCTTGGTCCCCACCCCCGTGCTTTGTCTGCCCTGCTCTTTGCGGCCTTGCCCGGCCCCGCTTCTCCCAGCTCAGTATCACCTCCACTCCAGGCCCTTTCCCAGCCATTCCTCTTCCCCAGAGACCATCTTAGTGCACTCCTTTGCCTCCTCCATGCCTTTGCTCAATGTCACTTTGTTGATGAGACCTATAAGGTAACTGGTCATCCTATTTATAACAACAACTCCCCTCCACGCACACACTCTCACTCACTCCTGAGCCTCCTCACCTTGTGCGAGCCTCCCCATTTCATTTCTCACCTCCTGACACTGAGGCCAGAAGACCCTGGGAGATGGGAGGCGGGGACGTGGACCTTGAGGCTACAGTCAGGAGAGTCTGAGGGTGGCCGGGTTGGGCAGCAACCACGAGGAACATTGCTGGCAAATTCTAAATTAATGCAGAACTGTATCTCACAGACTTTTCACAGATTGAATTGCGCATTCTTGCACATTTATCTGGGGATCCAGAACTTCTGAAGTTATTCCAGGAATCTGAAAGAGATGATGTATTTTCTACTCTGACTTCACAGTGGTAAGCTATATGAACTCACAATATTATCAGATCTGCAGGAAGGCCAATATGCGTTTAAAAGCCTGAATTATTCCAAGGCTACTTTCATAAGACAGAAATTATATATTTTTTTGTGTATGTGGCTAGTAGTTAATCATTTTGAAAAGAAGAGTAGATAACTAGGATGCCATGAGTTACCTAATTGTGAAAGAAGGGATGATTCTTCTCCACTAAAAAAGAAGTCCGTTCCTAGAAAATATAATAGAAATGATAAAATAACCAGCGAGTCCTGCACCCTACAGGTGAGCAACACGGAAAGAGTGAGCCCACGGTGCTGGCTGTGAGCCGCTGCCCTCCGAGGAGAGCAAGGTGCTTGCTGCGCACTCACACCCCAGCCCGTCTGTGGGCCGGGGCTTCCTGAGCTGCAGGTGAAAGACCCTGCCTGAGTGGCTTACACTCTTGGAGAATTCCAGAGGCAGATGGGCTCGGGTTTTGTTGGGCAGCTTGGCAGCGTCGTCCCAGGCCCGTCCTTCTGCATCATATTCTCAGGACGTTGGCTTCTCTTCCTCCTTGTGGAATACCTGCTCCAGTCTCCAAAGCAGGATGGAGAGACAGGTGCGAGGCTCTCCTCTCACCCCTCTCCTCTGCCCAGGAAAGTCAAGGGGCTCTTGCAGAGCCCAGTGCAGACAACAGCTACACCCCACTTTCTAGAGCAGGTCATGCAGCTGCACCAGCTGCAAGGGAGGTGGAGAGATTCTACTCCACAAAAAGGAGGAGTGATTATTGTGTTAGGTGTATACATGGCAGGTGTTCACCGGGCCAGGCGCATCAGTGCCCCTTTGAGGAGGGGAGGGGGAGGGTGTGCTGGCTGGTGGAAGGTCCCTGTGTCTGAGTCACCGTCCCCTTCCTCAGCAGCTGCAGGCGCCACCTTCCCATCGCCTTGGGCCTCTTCTGCTCCCCCTGCAGCCCCCTCACCCCTCCCTACCCTTCCCCTCCCAGCTCATCTCCTGACACCTGTTCACCCTCACCACGTCACACAGAAAGGCTGCCCAGCACCTACGGGGTGGGAGATGAGGAAGCGGATCGGGGGGTCCCTCAGGGGTGGAAGCCAGAGGGGAGAAGTCAGAGGAGCAGAGTCCTAAGCAGGTTGGGGGGGGGTCTGTCCCCTCACTAGGCCGGCCCCCTGCATTCCCTGCGTTCTTAAGCCCCTGCACTCCCCTCCCCATGTGCTGTCTCTGCCTCTGTCTTTGCTGAAGGCAGGGGGACCTGCAAGGGCTCTGGCTGCTTCTGGCCTGGTTGCCACCACTCTCCCTGTGCTCCCTCTTCAGCTACCCTGGCTGGTCTTGAGCACACCAGTTACCCGCCTCACTCCGGCCTTTCCTGCCCTGGGGCTCAGGAGCTCTTTCCCCAAATGTCCGTGTGTCTCCCTCCACCACCTTATCCAAGTGGGCCCTCCCGGCATCTCCTCAGGGCCCTCCCCTGACCACCCTCCCCTGATGCTGGGCACACTGCCACTCCTCTCTGGTCTCCACTCGTCTCTGGTGCGATGCACATTCTCATGTATTGCTCTACTGTTCATCCTGCTGCAGCATCAGCGCCCAGGGGCCGAGACCTCATCCACTCTGGTCCCTACTGTGCTCCACAAAGGGTGGGGACTCACAAAGGATTTGTCAAATAAATGAACAAATAGTATAGAACTCAAACTTGCGTTTGAATCAGAAAATCTCTCCAAAAAGGCTACCACCACAGGACTCTTACTTGAATGACAAAATTCAGGAAGAAATATTTTATATACCAGGAGCAGAGGATTGAGAATGTTACTGTACACTCAACTGGACTTTGGAGTAGCTGTGAAATTGTGTTTATAGTGACAGCAGGGAAAGTGAGAAAAGCAAAGAATAACGAAGTGTTTGCCCAGCCCAGGAAGAGGCACTGTACTGGGTGGATGTGACGAGCACGGCACATGGTGGGGTCCAGGGCAGCAGGAGCCAAGGCCAGCTCTTGAGCACTGGGTCCTGCCTCTCACCCCATATCCAGGGCATCTTCTTGTTCTCTCCCATCCTCTTCCCTCATCCTCAGACCCTGCACCCTACCCTCTGTGACCCGGTCCTTTCACACGAGTGGCCTCCACCCCAGTCAGGGCCCACTCGGGGACTCCAACTCTCCACCTCTGAATGCCCAGATCTGCACCGGGTCCTCGCTAGCCTCACTCACAACTCTGCCAGTGGCCTTCCTCCTGGCATCTCTTTCCAGGTCTGTCACTTAGCCAGTCTTGCCTGTACCCCACTGAGCTCCAAAAGCACGGAGACCCAGTCAGCTCCAGCTCCTCCTGGGCACTCCGGAAAGGTCCCAGGATGGATCCCAGGACACACACAGACCCATTCTTCTCTCTGCTCAGCCCCATCAGCTGCCCCCTTAGGAAGCTGTGCTCCTCTGACTTCTCCCTGCTCTCTGGCTTCCAGCCCTGAGTGATTCCCATTACTTACTTGCTCACCACTTACCCCACCCCAGGTGCTGGAAGAAGTTGCAAGGTGGTGGCAGCTGAGTCCAATAGAAATTCAGGCCATGTGGACTCAGAGAAGCCCTTAATATTCTCGACTTCCTGTCTTGTTGCTCCAGACTTTTTTGATCTCCCACAAATAACTACTATTCTCTCTTAATCTCCAAAAAGAACCTCCCCTCTTACTTAAATGACAAAGTAGAAAGCCTAAGACAGGGGCTTCTGAACTCCCTTCCACCCTGCCTCAGTGTCTCCATGTACCCTCCTCCCTCTCTCCAATGGCTCCTGTCTCAAAGGAGGGAGCTTCTCTATTGCCAGGATAAGGAGTGTGCAGTGTAGATCTCCAGGAGTTGCCACGTGTCTAGACCTGTGTGCCTGGTTCCTCCCACAGCTGTGCGGTGTACAACCAGCCCAGCCTTACATGGCAGCCTTCATCCATATTCCTTTTATTTTCCATGTTTACTCTAGCATTGTTAATATATCCTTGTTGATTTCCTCGTTCCCCTCTACTGGGGGACAAAAATCCTGCTTTAGGATTCCCCTAAATAGAACCCTAGAAAGAAATCCTATCTTCAACCTGGTTGAAGACCTCGTTTATTGCTTATACAAAAGAAATCTACACTTACTCCCTATACTTTCTCACTGCCACCTCTTTCTTGCTTCTTAAAACAAACTTTCATTTTACCTACATAGGCCTTTATTTGTATTTGAAGCCCAGAACTCCTCACATCTAAGACAATGATTGCCTCCAGGGTGTTTCTGGCTCCAAGGTCCAGGGCCAGCAACAGCAGCGAGACCCCACCCCCAGCAAGGGACAAGTCAGAGACTGCACAGGTCTTTGTGGGTGTGCGGCAGCCCTGGTCCCTGCCTGTCCCGGTGCTTTCTCCTGGTCTCTGTGCCCCCGCTCCTGGGAAAACATCCTTCTCCCAAGCTCTCACCATCTTTTAAAATCAAGATATAATTCACAGACCATAGAATTCACCCTTTTAAGGTTACAATTGGCCTGGCACAGTGGCTCATGCCCATAATCCCAGCATTTGGGGAGGCAAAGAGGAGAGGATCACTTGAGGCCAGGAGTTTGAGTCCAGCCTGGGCAACATTGCAAGACTCCCATCTCTACAAAAAAAATTTTAAAAAAATTAGCCAGATGAGGTGGCACACGCCTGTCCTGTAGTCCTGGCTGCTTGAGAGGCTAAGAAGAGAGGATTGCTTGAGCCCAGGTTGAGGCTGCAGTGAGCTCCAGCCTTGACAGTGTAAGACCCTGTCTCTCAAAAAATAAAGTTACAGTCACCGCTATCTAATTCCAGAACATTTCCATCACCCTGAAAAGAAGCCTCATGCCCATTAACCACCACTCCCAATTCACCCCGCCTTCTAGCCCTGGAAACCACTCATCTACTTTCTGTCTCTAGATTTACCTATTCTGGACACTTCACATTAATGAAATTGTATAACAGGGAACCTTTTGTATCTGGCTTCTTTTACTGAACATAGTATTTTTTCAAGGTGTATCCATGCTGTAGGAGGTAACAGTACTTCATTCCTTTTTATGGCTGAAAAATATTCTATTATATAGAATAATATATTCTATATATTTCAATATAAATAAGCAAATAATCCATGTATTTATCTATTCATCAGATGTCCTTCAATGGACATTTGGGTTGTTTCTACTTTTTGTCAGTTATGAACAATGCATTATGCATGTTTGTATATAGATTTGGTTTTGGTTTTGGTTTGGTTTTGGGTTTTTTTTGAGACAGGGTCACACTCTGTCGCCTAGGCTGGAGACCAAAGGCATGATCTTGGCTTACTGCAACCTCTGCCTTCCAGGTTTGAGTGATTCTCCAGCCTTAGCCTCCTGAGTAGCTGGGACCACAGGTACATGCCACCATGCCTGGCTGATTTTTTTTTTTTTTAGACAGGGCCTCACCCTGTTGCCCATACTGGAGTGCAGTGGCACAATCTCGGCTCACTGCAACCTCTGTCTCCCAGGCTCAAGAGATTCTCCTGCCTCAGCCTCCCAAGTAGCTGGGATTACAGGCGTGTGCCACTGCCACCCAGCTAATTTTTGTAACTTTAGTAGTGACAGGGTTTCACTGTATTGGCCGGGCTGGTCTTGAACTCCTGACTTCAAATGATCCGTCTGCCTTGGCCTCCCAAAGTGCTGGGATTACAGGCATGAGGCACTGCACCCAGCCTAATTTTTGTATTTTTAGCAGAGATGAGGTTTTGCCATGTTGGCCAGGCTGATCTCAAACTCCTGATTACAAAGCAACCTGCCTGCCTCGGGCTCCCAAAGTGCTGGGATTACAGGCGTGAACCACCACATCCGGCTGAGGTTTTGTTTTGTTTTGTTTTGTTTTGTTTCTGAGATAAGATCTCGATCTGTCACCCTTAGTGGGAGGGCAGTGGTTCACTGCCACTCACAGCTTACTCCAGCCTCGACCTCCTGCTGGACTCAACAGTCCTCCCACCTCAGCCTCCTGAGTACCTGAGACCACAGGCACATGCCACCATG